GCTTTGGCTTTTCCTTTGCTCCGTGTGACCGTCTGTATTTGTTCAAGTGTCACTGCATTCACTTTGAGGTGGTGTGTGACACAATTTGTTGCACCGTATTCTTGTCAAGTCTGGGAACCTTTATATTTACACACACACACACACACACACACATATTATATTATATAAAGAAAAAAAAAATTACTTACTTTTCCCTTAGGTAGCATCTTCAAGTCTGATGCTTCACCTGTGTGCCAAGGACCTTGGAATAAGCTCAGTGAGTTTATCAGACTGTGTAATTGCAACAGGCAGCTCAGCGGTGTCGGGGAGGGATGGGATTTGGCTGAGGGCTTCAAAAGAGCCTCAGAAGGCAGCAGGTGTTTGCTGCTCTCACAGCCCTGCTGGGGAGCATTAAATGCCCCTTAATACCAGCCACGAGTTGCGCTTGGCAAAACTTTGCAACATGCAACTGCACAGCAGTGCTTAACGTGTAAAACCATTTTGTCTTTTAAAAAAATCTTAAAATTTACATGGATTCTTCCCTGCAGAGGAGAACTAGTCTGCCCTGCTGCTTCAGACTGATGTGTTGGACAGGCTGCTACTTTTCCGTAGCTAATGCTAGAGTGAGATCAAAGCAGTAAAAACAGCTGGGTGGTCATTTTGTCTGAGGGTGGAAATGGAAAAGCTTTCAAAGTTGGTATTTCAGTGGTGTTTTGGAGCTTGCTTGGAGAGCTGCCTCTGAGATAYGGAGACCTAGTGTTTGTCATCCCTTCCAGGGACACCTCGGCGGGTTTTGAGCTCTTTTGTAGTTTAGGTAGTAGTGGACCCAACCGGATCTGAATTTTGTTTGGGGTTCTCTGTCCTTCAGCCTTTATGGTGCTTTTTTCCAGGTTYGGCTGTTTCCAGCCTGGCCTGGGACTGTCAGGAGTCGGTGTCTCTGCCACCGCTCCTKTTAGAGGGGAAAGCAGCATGTCTGGGAAAGCAACTGCAAGGCTGTCAGGAATCCTCTGCCAGGGAGGGATGCAAGTCCACCTTTTCCTAACAGGAAAACACTCCTGGTGTTTGCTTGGCATCTCTTTAGGGCAGGGAAGCCAGCTTGCCCCACTGTGCTGAAGGGGTTTGGCTCCACCCTGTGAACTGCCAAATGCAGAAAATGGGCAGGTATTTTGCTGGTAAARGATTCTGTTTTGGTAAATCATCTTMATAGATTATGAGTTGGTGAAATCTCTTGCATTCTTAAAAGCAAAGACAGCAGGATTTGTCACACGTAGTCATTCGCCAGTATAGGGAGTAGCTTTCCAGGCTTTTTAGTCAGTTTGTAAGGTCTAGGGGCTTTCCCCAGATCCTACTCCATCCCCTACCAACCACAGAGGGAAAGGGAAGGAGGCTAAAAACCAGTTGTGACTTGCAGACTCTGTTTTCAATGAGTGGATCAGTGGAAGCTGCATCAGGGATGCTTCTCCGTGCTCCTTCTCCTTCTTCCCAGCTGAGGACAACGTTCAGAGCAGCTAATGGCTTCCAGGTAGAAGCTGATGCTCTTAGTTAGTGTCATTTCTGCTCTCGGTCACTCAGGTGGTGATCTGGTTTCTGATGTCTCTGAGTGCTCTGTAGGGGTCAAATCTGGGGGAAAAAAGACTTGCCTGCCTTGCACGCATTTAAAACACTGCAAGGTGGGATTTGGGGGCTGTGTCTTTGCCTTCACACAGTTTTCTGCAGTCTAGAGGCTGTACAAATATGCTTTATTGAATCCATCTCTTTCTTGCCTTCTGGCACAAGGTTCTCCTGGATTGATAGAAAGTAATGAAAAATCTGTGGATTCTCGCTCATCTAATGCAACCTTTCCTGTCTTTTGTTTTGTGTCTTAAGCCTGCTGGGCTTAAGGGTTTTTTTGGCTTCTTTCTTAACTAAGACAAAAAAATTGCAAAGGAAAGGTAAGCCTGCTAAGTAGGCAGCAGGTTTTTAGCCCAGCTTAAGTGGCTTGGTTTCCTCGGTTAACAGCCCTGCCTAGGGATGGGAGGGAACAAATGACCACAAGTGCTTGCTGCATCAGTTCCTATCTTGTAACACAAGTTTGGTGTTTGTTGGGCCAGTGCTGATCTTCCAACACGGGGTGCTTCTCCTGGGTTCAAAACCAACCCTGGGATAATGATGCCACTGCATCATGATCATATGCATGCTGATACCCATCCTTGCAGCACCTGGATCTCCCCTGTCCTGAAATACCTGCCATCAGCTGCATTACGTGAGCATTTAYGGCCATGCAAAGATAGATGCTCCCTGACCCAGGGATACTTCTCTTTTTCTTTTTTTTTTCCCCCCTTATGGAAAATTATTGTGTGCTTTGAACTGCCTAGGAGTACTTGGGAGGACATAAAAAGCATGAGTTACTACAGGCTGCACGCCTGGAACTTGTAGCCCTCGGAACATATGGAGTAAATCAGCACTGCCTTGGGTGCAGCTGCAGCTATTACTGCTGGCTGTGATACCTGCTCCAAACTTGGGGCTCGATAATCTGTGGCCAGTGAATAGAGAAAAAAAAAAGAGCTTTTATCTTCCCTTCCAGTAGCTTCACATTTCTAAACAGAATAAATGTGCTAGAATAGGAGTTAAAGTAGTGGGGTTTTTTTCCTACAATTGCTTTACGTGGGACATTCAGTAACTTACTCTTTCACATAGTTGCTAAATCAAATATTTGATGAATGCATGCACTTGAATACTGGCTCTCAGAAGTATATCAGTGATTACTCCAGAGATAGAGAYCTGTGTTTAAAAAAAAATAAATAAAAAAAATTAAAATCCTGCATACCTGCCCAAGAACAAGTCGGGCAGAACTGCCTGCCCAGACACAGGGTGGGCAGCAGCAACGTGAAGCACAGGGCTACTGGAAGAGAAGTTGCTTTTCTGTTTGTGGGTGCCAAGAGCAGCGATGCCGTTAGGCTGCTGTGTGATGGATCAGAGTGCAGTGATATTGCTTCGAGCAAAAGTCATGAATTTTAATCAACTTTACTGGCTGCCTTGAAATTTGAGTTGAAAGATAAATGTGAAAAACAGGCATCCCATATTGTTTCTGGAACAAAACGGACCCTTTTCTGTTGATTAGAAGGGTTTGGGTTTTTTTTTCTTTTTTCTTCTTTTGACTTGACAATCAAAAATATTTCCGTTTTAGTTCTGGATTTTTTTTTAAGCYAACTCTTCAGGTCCTGCCTTCCCTCGGTGCCTCGCTGAGCAATGTGTCACCTCCCTGTCACCCAGATATCTGGCCGTGGCTGCAGGGACTTTCCAAATATCAGAGCTCCTTGGCTGTCTATTTTTAGATGGTCTTGCTTCTTATTCAAATATTCGTAATGATTTTTAAAAAAGAAAAGATTTGTCTAGTGAAAACTGCTGAGTGGCTGTCTTGGAAGTTGAACTCCAGTTTATGTTCACTCGGGAGACTGGGCACAGCAAATGTGTTTGTCCTTCAAGGCTGTTTCTCCGGGGCTATTTTGACGGCTCTGTAGTCATTATATTCATTTAGGAATCGGTCTTCCTAATCAGATCTAAATTGATGTAATATTGGGGAAACACCAAAGCTTTGGGAAGAACTGGACTGAAACAACCAGCTAAGGTCTGTGGATTAAAAAACACCCATCGTGGATTATTTTCAGTCACTCCCAGGCTGGTCCAGGTTACTCTCGGTAATTGAGAGTGTTTTCCTCACTCCTCGGTGAAGAAGTTTGCTCCAGGGGTTATCATAGCTGCTTTTCCTGTTTTGTCATGTCATCTCTACGCAGGAAYTGTTTTCAAGGGTAGTATTTGAGGCCAAACAACTTCTTGAGAAAGGAAAGGTGAAAATTAACCCAGAAGCTCAAGGTAGGAAAAGAAAAATCTGAAAGACTCCTTAGACTCTTGTCTTTCAGCCAAAGCTGCTTCATTATTTTCTCTTAGGATCCCTTACGATTTAACTCTGCAGTTCTTTTCCCTTCTGTGATAGCTGTAGAGCTGTCAGCTGCTCCRTATTAATGAAATGTTCGCTGCAGCCACAGCAGACACCTACTCGGTGATCTGGGAACTTCTTGCTGCTTTCGCTAGTGAGAAAGGCAGTGATTTCTGGGGCCTAAATGGGTGTGAAAGGGCACATACAGACCTGCGAAGTACAAATTCCATCTTGTTTGTACTCCCAGCGGGCTCCACCCTTGGCACGGGACCCAGATATTTCAGGAATTTGGGTTGAGGTATACGCGTTCCCAAAAGAGGCATGGAGGTAGATTCCCCTTTGCATCAGTGGGTGCAGTTTCTTTAAGGTCACCGAGGATTTGCTTGCAACAGGAACGGCGATTCCTGCAAGGCTTCCTCGGAGCCTGTGGGAGGGGAGGCGCTGGGTTGCTCAACACCGGCGACCTCAGGCCTGCACCTTGCAAAGCTCGGGTGACTTAGCTCTTGCTCCGAGCTCAGCGTGTTAATGTCAGAGCAAACCCAGCTTATTTCCATGTCTGTTTACGGGAGCCGTGCTCAGCAAGGCTGCGCTTTGCTGGGCCGAGGCTGTTAGAGCTGTGCCTGTTTACCCCCGTGGCTGGTGTTTTTCCCCGAGGCCTTCAAAGCACCTACGTCTGCTGGAGCAGGGGATTAGTTTCACCAAGGCTCATTTCAGATGCAAATACTCTTTGGGCTGCTGCACAAATGAAGCCTGAATTTTCCTTTCTAAACCTGTGCTTGTTCTCAACTGGGAGCCCGCTYGGCTTTGTGTCACCCACTTACTGGCGTTGCTGTGACACGTGTCTTGAGGTCAGGGTGGTGGAAACCAGTTTGGTGGCATGGGCCGGAGTCATGTAATGCCCACACAAACGTGCCAGGTGTCGAGGGCTGCTTACGCACGGGTGCTTGGACTGCTTGGACTATCTGATGCCGAACAAAATGAGCGTTTGCCCGTGTTGCTGCCAGGTGTGCTAATATGTATCGGGAACCAGTTAGTTGGGGTGCTGGGTGGCGCGTCTCGGCGGGCGCAGCGCGGTCCTAACGCGCGCCTGTCCCTTCCCCTGCAGCTACTTGGCTGAGCAGTGCTGGAATGGCGGCTTCGTCTACCTGATCATGCTGCGCCGCATCAAGCGCAAGGCCCCTCCGCCGCCCTCCAACGGCAACAACGGCAACGGCTGCGAGCCCAGGGCGAAGCCGGGCCCCGAGCCCAGCGACAGAGCCGCCCAGAATGGGAAGAGGACAAGGAAGTTCGGCGTCATCACCAGGGCGCCAGGCGGCAAGGAGAGCAAGGAGAAGCCCCCCTCGGAGCCGGGCAACGGGCACTGCAGCCCCATGGAGGTGGAGGCTCCGCAGCTGGAGTGGCCCGAGGCGGAGGAGGCGCCGCGCGGCGTCAGGGGGCAGCACCGCTGCCGGCTCTCCGATGGCGGCGTGTCCGATGGGAGCGACCACGCGGCCCAGGTAGGTTCCCTTGGGGTGCTCTGGGCGTTGGGATGGTGTGTGGGATGGGGACAAGAACCTCTCTGCATCTTCCCTGGGAAATCGAGGGTTTTCCACAAGCAGCTCCCGCAGTTTTAGTGCTGTGGCTCTCAATATTAATGATGAGGGGCCTCTGTCACRTTACATCTGTGGTGAAGGGTAAAAATTGCCTCGTTATCAGGCTCATCCATATTGGCTTCTGGGTTTCTTTTACTTGAAATGACCAATGATGTTAGATACTGTGGTGGGAGATGTCGGACAGGGCGGTCGCTTCATCCTTGGAGGCTTCACGTTTAGCGTTGTCTGAGCATGACGGGATGCTAAAGCTTGTATTAAAGTGGAAATCAGAAGCCTCCTTTCTGAAGGGAAAGGGAGTCAGCCCAAGACCATGGTCTGTTTATTAGCCTGTGCTGCAAAGCTTGTTTGGAAATATTCAGAGCTGYCGTGGAAGCTGCTGTGAATTTTTCTCTGCATTGATGGGACAGACGATTTGTTAAYGTTCAGCACAGCAGTGGGACGGGGGCTTTTATTGCCTCTCTTTMCATCCTAATGGAGATCTGGGGGTTTGTTGCCTGGCTGGAATTTCAGCTTTGCTGCATGCACATGCTCAAAAAAAACACTACCCAAGTCTTGATTGTGCTTCAGTCCACATCTATCAGCAGAAGAGCTGCTTGCCAGTCTGATGGTATAAGCAGATGAACACTGCCCTGYTAGGCTGGGGACTTGCTGCAACAGCTGGTTTGGCTTTTAAGACAACAAAGCTGGTAATTAAATTGATAATACAGCAGCACGAGCGTACGTCGTGTCACTAAATTGTGTTAAACGAAGGTGTGTTATTAAYGTGTCCTGAATTGGCGAGCCTGGGTACTAGTGCATTATGCTGCTGGTGGTTTCAAATATAAAATATAGAAGAGAAGCTGAAGCCAAAAAAAAAAAAAAGAAAAAAAGAAAAAGTGTGGTCCAAAGGAGACGTAACTGAGAAAACCTGCTCTTCCCATCAGCCAGCCAAGTTTGATTTCACGGTGCAGCAGGGAGGGGAAGGTGCTTGTGGACCGGCCTGGAAATTTACAGGCTGTGAGACCTTTCCGAAGGAGCCTGTTAGCTTAAAAACGGTCCAGCCCTTCAGTGATTTGAAGGCTCTTCCAGTTTGAAAACTTCTTAAATCTGTTTAGAAGATGTTTAACTAAAGACATGTCATAAACGAAGATGATCTGAGTTTTTATGGGAAAATCAATATGCATGAAAAACGACGAAACTCTTGATCTAGAGCTGCTTTGTGCTGGTGTTATCTTGATGTTTTGAGCACTCAGTCCGAGAAGTAAATTAGTAAATTCAGAAAATATATTTGTGTGMGCTGTAAGTCCATAATAACATACATAATAAGTACATAATAACAAGTACATTAAGAGCTATCACGTGTCGATTTCTGGGCTGTCTCTTATGGAGCACTTTAGGAGACAAGGGCATTTAGCAAAATTGTTTCTCTTTCTCTTCTCCACTTGCTGCCTTGCTCAGAGGTATGACCTCTCTGTATGTCAATATTAATTTAATTGCATTTTTCTGACTTCTGGAGAAATTTGAATAGCTAGAGCCCAAATAGTATGTCTTGATCATCCTTTTCTTAGCAAAACTAAGCGGCCTTAATAAGCTTATCTCTGTAGCTTCTGTGTGGGACCCACTGTCAAAGGAATTAGTGGCTTCATTCTGTCTCTCAAAAGACAATGAATAAAATTTTTTAAATTATGTGAGTCCAATTTAAAGGGGAGAAGAGGAAAGGAAGGAATAAGGAAGCTTGGGAGCCTCAAGTCTCCCTTAAAGCTGTTTTCAAAGCGTGACCTGTCACTTAGGCATTTGAGATCCAGCTGTAGCAAGAACCTTTTGCAAACAGTTGCCACAACTGTTTCCGAAGCTGCAACCTGCTCCCAAGGGTGAGCCAAGGCTCTGGGAGCTGCCGGATGAGCCGTCCCGCCGGCCGGGCTGAGGCGCATGGCGGGAGCTGCTCCGTGCCCGCGCGGCGCCCGCGTCTCCGTGCGCTGCCCGTGCGATAACCAGCCCTGTGGGGCTCCTCGCGCCTCGGCAGCCACTGCGTGCCCTTCGGGACCGTCCCGGCCCGCTGCAGCGAGCTCGGGGGTGGATGGCAGTGGCAGGAAGGGTTTTGGAGAGGCAGCTCCGTGACCCACGCAGCTGCACGAGGGCCCCTTGTGCTAACACCCCTTCTGTTCCCTTTAGCTGCTTCCTTCCCCCTGCCCTGGGAAGCAGGTTGCAGAGCTACAGGAATGGAAATGTTGAAGCCAAAAAAGTCTCTCCCTTTTGAATTTGCCGCAGCGCAAGTTTAGGTCCAGATTGTTCAGTGTGAGCTCGGTGCAAGTCTCCAGCCACTCCCGTAGTGAACGGATGCGTCGGAGGGGCCGGGGCAGGAGGCTGGAGCGGCTGCAGCCGCGCAGCCTTTGCTCCCGGGGACTCCTCTGCCGTGAGCCGCGTGGTTCCCTCCCGCTTTAACCCTGGGTCCTGCTGAACYGGGAGCCGGATCGGGCAGTGTCTGTTGGACGAACCTCCAGGCTGGTTTGTGTGCGGGTTGGGCCCCCCGGCCTTGCTTTCATGCATCCGCTCTCCGTCAGTCTCTCCTGTGCTCTTGGCATTCTTACAGCTGYGTAGAAACAGATCTGCTGGGCTCTTTGCTGCTACACAGCCTCCATCAATGCTGTACCTGTCAATTAGCAGCCCATATTTAGTGTTTGAAGTTGTTTAAGTTATGCTGAAGTGTTTTGGGATGAACCTAAATGCCCCTTAAAACGTGCAGCTCCTGAGCAGGTTCCTTGTGTCTGTGTGCCAGGAAGGTGCTGGAGGCCTGGAAGCCAAGTGTGACCTTGGGAGGGACCCAGGCTGGTCTCGTAGGCGTCCTGTGTGGTGATTTAAAGCTCAGAGCCGGGGTAATGACCCATCACATCCTGGGGAGACTTGGGAGCTCCTATACAGCAGTCAAAGTTTACATCTTTGATGCAGCAGCTTGAAACAGGGTAATGTTTTGTGGGCTGGCAACTGTAAAAGCAGGGATGCAGAYGAGTGCGAGGGGCGGCTACTGGAGTTAGCTGAGAAACTATAAACGGAAGCAAACGGAGGGCAAGGGAGTTGCAGTTTTGTGGTTTCCCTGTGTTTAGTGATGAGGCAGAATTCATCAGTTTTGTTGTTTTGTTCCCAGTTGCTTTATCAGAGTGTTTTTGGAAGAGCTTTGGGCCACCGTCCTGCTCGTTCAGTCCCCGAGGAACATTGCRATGCTGTCTAGTACAGCTGGATGGATCAGAAGCAATAGATCAGAGTTACAAGCTCTGTGAGCACAGTTGCAACGGTGTCTAGAGCAGGTTTGGTCCTCGCTGACACGGACAGAGCAGCTGTCATGGCTGATGGCAGCAGCTGGGGTGGAGGTGACCATGTCAGAGCACAGGATGTGCAGGAGCAGCCACTTTCATTTCCTCCTGTCCCGAAGCCTTGGGAAGTCCCTAATGCACCAGGGATTAAACTAAAAGCAAAGTAACTTCCAGCATCCCCCTGAATGCTCTTGCTTTGCGGTAGGTTCTGGATTAATAAGGAGTTGAAATCCAGGTCCAAGTTGAGTCAACCTCTGTAAGCTACGTCAAGGAGATGGGGTAGAACAAGGAGGCTTCAATGGCAGAGAAAGGAGGATGAGAGAGGCTGGAGGGCTGTGCATTTCTCCCTGGGCTATTTTAYAGGATATAGGAGCTGAGCAGGGTGTGTGCACCACATCCGTGACATCCCGGAGTGCACTCGTGGTAGGAATCTCCTCCAGGAGGGAAGCAAGGCAGTGTTGGGTAGCGCCGTGAAACGCCTTCCCCGTGAGGTCAGCCTGCCGTGCACGGAAGGGAGGAGGGCTGGGGACAGCGAGGGGACGTCACTGCCCAGCCTCGCAGCCACATGGGACACATCTGATTTATAACGTGATACTCCAGGCCCTTGGATGGAAAGGGCTCCATGTTGTCAACCCCAAATATTTAGGGGTGAGTTACAGCTGCCAGAACCGCCTGTTTGGCCAATTCTGCTCCCTTGATAGCCCAGCTGGGCCTGTCTTACGTAGACCACGACTCTTTTGAGATGTGTGAGTGTATACACAGGTGCACAGCGATGTGCACGGCCATAAAAGCCCTGTCAGGTCTTTGCAAACGGCCCTCCCCTTTGTGCCCTCTTAATTGAAATGTGCCTGACTTCAGTTTATCAAGAACTGTCATCCGGGTTCTCTCCCATTGCTGCCTTTTTATTAAGAAAGGGCTCGTCTCATGCCATGGTTGGCTTTGTAGAGTAAATATTGGCTATAGAAAGCCAATATTTACCAGTTAGCATTGCTAAATGCCAGACGTACCTTGATTTTTGTTAATGAAAACATTCCTTATCTTGCCGAGCAGAAAAGCGGAGCTTGTGGCACACTACAGGAATCAGAAATCGAGGCTCAAAATAATGCACTTGCTTTAAGGATTTTGCCTTTTTTAAGCATGATGAGAAAATACAACTTTTCTTATCAATTTGTATTACCAAAATGCAAACCCTGCTCCGAGCAACGTACTTACAAATGTAAATATTCACAGCTCCTTTGAAGCTAGTGGGGCTAAAATGATTTACATCAGCTTTTTTTGGCAATCTAAACGACGAGGATTATTTCATCAGAGCTATTATGGGCTTTTATATGATACATGTTTAGATAGGGATAACTCTGGGTTTAGCTTTTATTGTGGACACCTTGAGATGTGCAGCAACCTTCCTCGGAGTCTGTTCTTTGGTCTTTTTATCTCGTGTCTTTGCTTCCAGCTTTCATTAACAGGAATCCTGGGGCTGCCTCCTGCCTCGAAGCTCTCATGTGCTCCGTGATGAGGATCCCTCATCTCGGGAACATCCGTGATGTTCCCTGCTCGGACCTCACCTGGGCCCTCAGCTCTCGCTGGGACAAGGACTGTCTGTTACCTGTGTTGTGCAGC